TTGACACTTTTCTTTCTTCAAGAAATCAATGAATATATGAACTTGAATTAGACTTGGCACCTGTCTCCAAGGAACTGAACTCACTAGCTTCTGGTAGCCTTAGATGGAATTTTTAACCTAAAAAGAGTTTTAAGAAAGCAACTTTGCATTTTTACATTGCTTCTTTAAAGCCATGTTTTTGTTGCTACTGTTCTCTTTCTTTAATTCAATTTTATTTTATGTGATGGGTGTTTGCTTACAGGTATATCATCAGTGTACTATTTGTTTGGTTGTTGCCCTTGGAGGCTAGAAGAGGTGTCAGATCCCCTGGAACTGGAGCTATGATATGGACATTGTGAGCTTCCATGTGGGTGCTGGGAATTGAGGCCAAGTCCTCTGAAAGAGGAGCCAGTGCTCTTAACCTGAGCCATCCCCAGCGGATTGGTGTTGTTCTCAATATAGAAAGGGGGTAGAAGGGAACAGATGCCATCAGAATTCAAGAGCATGAAACATTTCAGAGTTTAATCAGCTAACTATTTCTCAGGACTACAGAGCCAGTTTAGGCAATAGCTTACAAACAGCAGACAGCAGGGTACTTCTTCTCCGTCTAAGAGTGGTCCCGGGTAGCAGGGGCCAGAAAAATGGACTGTTGGAGAAGGCAGAATAGCAGAACTTTGATCTTTTTCTGTCCCTAAAACTCAAATGTTTTGAGTCCCATAGAAACCCTAGCATAGGATAAGAGAAAAATAAATAAATGAAAACCAAGTCTGAAGGTAAGCGTGGCACGCACCTGGCATGGGATCCTGATACTACCACAAGGAGCTATGACTTCCACCTCTTGGAGTTTCAGCTTCTACACTTATGATCTGGTTACAGCTACCAACTTGGACAGAGCTGGTGAGAATTAAAAAGGGTTGGCTGGGCGTAGGGGTGCATGGATCATCTCTGGGAGTTCCAAGCTAGCTAAGGATACATGAAGAGAACCTGTTTCAAAACAAGTTAATACACATAAAGGGTCTGGGCCAGAGCAGGAGTTTAACTCACAGACTTCTCATTCTCTCAGCCTTCTGGAAAAGCACAGTGATGGATAAAACCTTCCTTACTTTCAAAACTGCTGTTCTGAGAAAAAGGCAGAGAGGACCAGCTAAACAGACTCATAAATCTCCTTGATCTCAAGTTTTAAAGGAGAGAAGCCATGAAATAAACTAGTAAGAGGCAGAAGGAAGGATGGAATTATAAAGTCCACAGCAAAGGTATTGAGATTTATTAATCATTTCCATTTGCCTCTTAGTGTGACGAGATTTTATTTTATGCTCAGTGAAGGGAGAAATCACCCAAACTTTGAAAAAAGAAATTAAAAGCGTTTCAGACAAACACAAATTGCTGCTGTTTCCAGATGTCTTCTCAGAAAATGATTCCACAATCAAATAAAAGCTTTCTGGACTTTCTGTTGGGATGGTTGTGCCACTGACTATGACCTGCCCAAGGCCACTGGCACATGGATCACGCAAACAACACAAAACAACAGTAGACACCATGGCAGAGACCCCGAGAGTAACTAACTCCTCACATATCACAGTCAGGAAGGTACGGGAGTGAAGTTTTAGCCAGGGCCTCTTAGTGCCAGAGTCAACAGTCTGCAGGCTTTGGCTGGTCCCACTCCCTCAAAGGGATACATATCTAGCCAGCTGGTCCCACTTCCTCAAAGGGATACATATCTAAGCGGCTGGTCACACTTCCTCAAAGGGATACATATCTAGGCGGGAAGACACAGCGCTGATGGGCGAAAGCTTGTAAAGAAAGCTGTGAAAACAGAGATCTTTCGTCATCAGGCTGCGTCATCATGAGGGAAGAATGGATTCAGGGTGAATAACTATTTACACAACACTTAATATTAATCTGCCCCCCAATAAAAAGCATCTGTTTTTTTATTCATATGAGGACCTTTTAACTAGAAAATAGGAACTCCCTTGGCATTTCCTGGCCCAAAGCCTATAAATAATCCTAAGTCAATATCAAAGTCAATAGAGATTCACCTGCCTTTGCCTCCCAAGTGCTAGGTGAAAGGCACGTGCCACTACTGCCTGGTTTTTCTGTATGTGTTTATCCCATTGCTAATTAACATATTAGTGGACTTTCAGTTCTATTGAGTCCCCGAATGAAAGTTCAGAGTCCTGGGCTCTGCCTCTTTAGACTCTCATTTGTGTTTCTAGGAACGTTCAGCTAAATTCTGGCTTGGCAGCCACCTGCCCTGCCCTCTGGGTTTGTATTGTTCTTTCAAGTTTTCGTAAAGTACCCACACTTGGATCTTTATCCTGTAACTGCATTTTAGAGATTGTATTCTGTGTTGAATTATGATTCTAAAGCTAAGAAATTAAGCTGTTTAACTGCCAGATGTTCTGATGTTTGTAAAGACCAGTGTGGTGTGCATTCCATGGATCTAGTTATAGGATGTAACGTCTAGACCACACAAAGTCTTTTACAAAAACTTTTGGACGGGGTCTACTACTTTCTTCTTTATGCAGAACAGACTGAAATATTTCAGTTAGAACACAAATTTCATGAAGGTACAGCATGATGCATATGCATATATATGCACACACAAGCTATATATTGCCATAGCATCTCTAGTATATATATATATTTTAGACATCAAAACACACAGTTCAATCCTAAGATATATCATTACACACATGCAGATATTCCAAAATCCAAAAAGAAAAGTAAATTAAAAGTCCAAACCACCATTGATGCCAAACATTTGGATAAGGGATGTTCAAGCTGTGCTAACATGAGCATTTACACAAAGTTGAGTCCTAAGGCTTAAAGGACTAGTTTTCTCTGTTCTGAGAAGTTCCAGTTCAAACTCCATTATCTCAAAGTTTCCTGTGGCAAGGGAAGTGGCAAAAGCCAGAGTTGTTTTTGGAAGACAGTCCTCTATGTACGACTAAAGAAAGCAAAACGTTGCTGGCCATGGTGGCACACTCCTTCAGTGACAACACTGACGAGGCGGAGGCAGGAGGGACTTCGTGACCGAGGCCAGCTTGGTCTACAGAGTGAGTTCCAGGTCAGTCAGAATTACATGCTGAGACCTTCTCAAAAATGAATGAACAAATAAATAAAACAAAATGGCACCTAGCTGGGGGGGGCGGGGCTGGAGAAATGGCTCGGAGTGTAAAGGCTCCTGCCACCAAACCTGATGACCCAAGTAAGGGCCCTGGATACACGTGGTGTTTTGAAAGAAAATCAGTGACTCTCATATGCTGTCCTCTGGTCCTCAGCCCCACACATACAAATAAACAGATATAAAAATTAAAAACTGAGGTAGTATGATGAACTTTCTGGCTATGAGAGCCGAGTATGTAATTAGCTTCAGCGATTTACTAGACTGATGTATTCCTCTGTACGCAGTGGGGAAGAGCCTTGGCAATCTAACACTCGGCTACTTCTACTGCTTCTAAGTCTTGTGCATTCTTCGTCAGCGCAAGGGAGTTAGGATGGGTTAGAGCAGTTCTGCTACTGCTCCGTAGACCTTTAACACAGGTGCCACACATGTTAGTTATTGCAGGCCTCCGGAAGAAGTGCTGGGCGACTGCAGAAATCTATTCCAGGGCCCCATGTAGCCCAGGATGACCTTCAAATGTAGCTAAAGATGGCCTTGAATTTCTGATCCTCCTGTCTCAGCATCCTGAAGGATAGAATTATAGGTGTTTCTTACTAAGTCCATCTTGGTGTTTTATTTTTTGAGGTAGGGTCTTACAATGTAGCCCAAGCAGGTCTGAAACTCATTATATAGCCCAGGCTGGTCTCACGCTCGTGGCAATCCTCCTGCCTCAGTTTCCTAAGTGCTAGGATTATAGGTGTGCATCACGACCAGTAATGATTATTCTTTAGATCACTTAAAAATGAGCACAATAATAAATTTTAAAGCTTGATCTAATATTTTATTCATCCTTCTCTATTCTTTCTCCCAGATCCTGAGTATCAGACAGCATTCTTTTAGATACCTGGAATTAGCCTGTGATTTTGCAAACTGTCATAGCTGAGTAAGATGGGGATGGGAAATCAGAGGAATGGGAAAATCAGGGTGCAGAGAAGAAACAGACAGAGTTTAAAATGAAGCACCGTTCTTTTCCTGAGCATTAAATGGCCATCATTTAGTGTTTTGAAATTTCAAATAATATTAAAGCAGGGCTTAGGTTGGAAAAAGGAGATTGCAAAGGAAGTTTTAAAAGTCAGAACTTTTTGTCGCTAGACAGAAAGCATGTGCAGAAGATGTTTGATGAAGGCTGTGAATAGAATCAATAGCCCCAAACCCAAACCCACTTGGTTAAGACACACTGTGAAAACATCAGCACTCTTATGGCGGGTGTCTGGGGCCTAACAGCGTGACCGACTATACTTTGATGGAAAAATGAGCTTGTAAATCCCCAAGCACAGTGAGACGCTTCTGCAAGTCTCAGCACGGAGATCTTCATTCTGACATTCTGTGTTTCCAGCTGTTACCATCCTTACAAACTTCCCTAGAAAGGGCTATTTATTATCTCCTCTCCTCTCTATATTCTGGTGCCTTCCACGTAACAAACATAAAACTGGAAAACACGTTGAGGGGTAGGAATGCTCTGACCCCCAAATTTCTTCCTCCTTAAATGGGGAATCCAAAGACAACTAAGGTTTATAATCCTTTTCATTTTTGTTTAAGCCCTAGAACCATACGATTCCCATGACAATTCCTGCAGAATATGTCATTTCCCATATGCTCCTGGTTCACAGACCAACCCTAAGGCTTAGACCCATCAGTTTTCATGGCTGGAGAGAGAGACTGTAAGAAAGTCTCAAGCACAGGCACAGAGGGTCACCTAGTGCAGGCAACACCTTCCTCCAGCTCCAGCCCCTGACCCCAAGGTTCCATGTGCACACGGAGGGTCACCTAGTGCAGGCAATACCTTCCTCCAGCTCCAGCCCCTGACCCCAAGGTTCCATGTGCACACGGAGGGTCACCTAGTCCAGGCAACGCCTACCTCCAGCTTCAGAACATCATGCTGAAGTTTTCGCTGAAATTCCAGGAAGTTTTTGATGGTGAGTTTCCCTTTGAGATCCGCTCCAAAAAAGTAGGTTGTGAGGGCCGAACATAAGCCAGACTTGAGGGTGTTCCCAGTCGTGGGGCGATCTCTGTGCCGCATGCCCATGCTCGTCTGGGAGCGGATGATACTCTGAACCTACAACAGAATCACATCGTCACCCCGAGACTCATGGCAGTGAAACACAAGGGAGGTTACAGCTGCACAACGCGGCAGTCTCGGGCGCTGTGTCCTGTGATCCCCATTCCCTAGCTGAAGAGACCAAGGCACATACACACAGCTGAGTAGTGGCAGCAAGGAGAGCCAGGATTCTGACTCAGGAAGCCTGGCACGTTTGCGACTGGAAGCCTCCTGGAGGACTTGCCTTCGGGAGAAGAGGATCTGTTTTGGGGTTGGGGGTGGGGTGCAGAACCTCTCATACAAGCAGGGTGGTCATCCTCACGATAACATTTTATCTCAGTAGGTTTTAACATCCCACACTTCTACTCTCTACATGGGCTGTACAAAAATTCTTTTGTTTTAAATGATTGTATATGTATGGGTGTTTGGCCTGTATATATGCTGGTATACCACATGTGTGACTGGCGCCCATGGAGGCCAGAAGAGGGTCTTGGGATCCCCAAGGATGGGGTTACAGATGGTGATGAGCCACCCTGTGGATGCTGGGAATTGAACCCGGGTCGTCTAGAAGACAATCTTGTGCTCTTAACCACTGAGCCATCTCTCCAGCCCTATGTGCAAATTCTTTTTTTTTTTTTTATTTATTGAGCTCTACATTTTTCTCTGCTCCCTTCCCTGCCTCTCCCCCGCTTCAACCCTCTCCCAAGGTCCCCATGCTTCCAATTTACTCAGGAGATCTTGTCTTTTTCTACTTTCTATTTCCCATGTAGATTAGATCTATGTAAGTCTCTCTTAGTGTCTGCATTGTTATCATAATTCTCTGGGATTGTGGTTTGTATGATGGCTTTCTTTGCTTTATGTTTAAAAACCACCTATGAGTGAGTACATGTGATAGCAAATTCTTAACATCTAAATATTTCAGAGTGACTCATCACATACAGAGTGGGTATGAAACAAGAGAATCTGTTCAATCTTTGCGAAGGGTTGGTTTTGAGGACTGGTAAGAGTGGCCTCCACCTGCAGGGGAGCTTTCTTCATAAGACTGTGGCTGTCTCTGCTCTCACCCCGGCTGACACTCATCGCTCACCCCCACTGGCTAAGAAATGCGAACAAAGGAAGCCGGTACCACTTGCCTGCTCAAACTCCTCCATGTCTACTTCTCCATCTCCATTCAAGTCGAACATCTTGAAAGCAATTTCAAAATTTCTCTGAGGAGCTACAAGTAGAAAAAGAGCAAAGGAGAATAATGGAAAGAACACATTGGTCAAAACACAAACCACTTCAGAAAAACGGCTTAGCATGAAAGTAATACCCAAGCCATAAAGTGACAATGTCTAGATCAAGGGATAGCTCCTCGAAATTCTGGAAGGGGCTTGTGCTCAGTAAAGACAGCAGGTGCCTGTTTTTGTATTTCGACTCTTTTTTTTTTTAGTTTTTCGAGACAGGGTTTCTCTGTAGCTTTGGAGTCTGTTCTGGAACTAACTCTTGTAGACCAGGCTAGCCTTGAACTCACAGAGATCTTCCTACCTCTGCCTCCTGAGTGCTGGGATTAAAGGCATGCATCACCACTGCCCAGCTACCTTTTTACAATTTTTTTAATATTTATTTATTTATTTATTTATTTATTATGTATACAGTATTCTGTCTGCTTGTATGCCTGCAGGCCAGAAGAGGGCACCATACATCATTACAGATGGTTGTGAGCCACCATGTGGTTGCTGGGAATTGAACTCAGGACCTCTGGAAGAGCAATAAATGCTCTTAACCTCTGAGCCATCTCTCCAGCCCCTTTTTACAATTTTTAAATGATCATTTTATATGTAAAGGTGTTTTGCCTGCATGTATGTCTGTACAGAACATTGTGCAGTAGTGCCCGTGGAGGCCAGAAGAGGGCATCAGATTCCCTGGGGCTGGAGTTACAGCTGGTTGTGAGCTGTTGTGTGGGTGCTGGGAATCAAACCTGAGTCCTCTTCAAGAGCAGCAAGTGTTCTTAACCACTGAGCCCTCTTTCGTGCCCCTGAGCCCCTCTTCTTAAATACTTCAGCTTTGCCTTTCAGAGTGTCCCTCTATCGCTGCATGATACTCTTTCCCACCATTTGGTTGTTACTGGTTAGGCATGCCGAGCACGCACAGCAAGTGTTGTGAAGATACTATTGTTTACTGAGTGAGGAAGCCTGTCTGCGATGAGACATACTGCGGCAAGGCAAGAATGTCAGCGTCTAGACCTCTGCTCTCGCCTTGAAACGCGCTGGCTTTTCGCTCTGGTTTTCTAAGGGTCTGCACTGTTCTACGTACGTCACTTGGCTGTAAGGTGTCCTTCTGCTCCCGTCTGTGCGTTTCCTCATTATCCCTGCTACTGGGAGGACAGAAAGGCATTCTGTAAGCCATTCAGCCCCCGCTCCAACATGCCAGATGCACACACAAATTACTAACTGGAGCATCCTTAAATGTTGAAGCTTAAACAAAAAGCTAAAAATACACAAAGCTTGAAATACTCGTTCCCTTAAGTGAGTGGTCAAAGTTCCTCCATCAGTCTTCAGTGTTCCAGAAGCAATCAAAACACAATTAATATACTTCAGGCGTCATAATGAAACAGAAATTAATGGCTGTTTTCCTTCACACTATTAAGTTTTCTGGTAAAGAGAACTAAGATATTTACCCCCCTTCCTTTTATGCTTTCAACTTACAGAGCTTTAGAGACAAAATCAAAGCAAGTGTCCTATCTGTCCTAATACCACTGAATAAGTGTTCAGTTAACATTTTTACTAAAAAGTCAAACCCATCAAACGCAAGAATTATTCACAAAGAAGCATGTATGATGGATGAGCGTGTACATCATGCATGACCAAAGAGTCCCAAGCCCGCTGTGAGTCCATTGACAGCAGTAGTTCCTGGCTGCCCATTCTCCTTTCAGCTAGTCGGCTGCCTAGAAAGTTCCTGGCTTCAGCTGCCGTGGGATCTGTGCCTTTCAGCTTCCAATTATCTGTTTCACTTGATGCTGTTTCTTGGTCCTCTTGCCTCAGCCTCTCCAGTGCACCACCATCCCTGGTTCATACCCACTCTTTAGGCCACAACTACAACTGCTGGGAAGGACACTGCTTGGAGAATTTTATCTTTATGTTTATTGGTTCTCCTTCCTTCCTTCCTTCCTTCCTTCCTTCCTTCCTTCCTTCCTTCCTTCCTTCCTTCCTTCCTCCCTCCCTCCCTCCCTCCCTCCCTCCCTCCCTTGCGTGTTTTTGAGACAGTTTCTCTGTGTATCCTTGGTTGTCTAGGAACTTGCTCTGTAGACCAGGCTGATCAAACTCACAGATCTGCCCACCTCTGCTTCACAGGGGTTGGGATTTACAGGCATGTGCAACCACTGTTTGACTACTTCTGTCTAATCTTCTTGTTTCTTTTCTTTTTAATTTATTTCTTTATTATGTATACAATATTATTCTGTCTGNGCAACCACTGTTTGACTACTTCTGTCTAATCTTCTTGTTTCTTTTCTTTTTAATTTATTTCTTTATTATGTATACAATATTATTCTGTCTGTGTGTATGTCTGCAGGCCAGAAGAGGGCACCAGACCTCATTACAGATGATTGTGAGCCACCATGTGGTTGCCGGGAATTGAACTCAGGACCTTTGGAAGAGCAGGCAATGCTCTTCACCACTGAGCCATCTCTCCAGCCCTCTTCTTGTTTCTTTTGAGATAGGGTTTCTTTGTGTAGCCCTGGCTGTTTTAGAACTAGCTCTGTTGACCAGGCTGGCCTCAAACTCACAGAGATCTGCCTGCCTCTGCCTCGCAAGTGCTAGGACTAAAGGAACAAATGCACCCACATGGCTCTGCCTAATCTTCTACCAAGATGTTAGTATACATCGATATTTATTTATTTATTTACTTATTTATTTATCAATTTATTTATTGAAACAGGGTTTCACCTTGTAGTCCTGGCTGGCCTGAAATTCAGTATGTAGACTAGGCTGGTCTCAAACTTACATAGATCCACCTGCCTGCACTGGGATTAAAGGAAAGAGCCACCATGCCCAGCTTGAATCAAGTCTTAAGATGGACAATTTAATCTATTTATTGGTGAATTTTGTACCTACAATCTCACAGGTTTAAAGAATAAAACAAAACAGAAGGGACCGCAGAGATGGTTCAGCAGTTAAGAGCGCTGGCTGCCTTTGAAGTGGGCCTGAGTTTCCTGCACCCACATGATGGCTCATAACTGTAACTCCGGTTCCAGGGGATATGGCTTCCTCTTCTAGCTCTTCTAGAGCCTGGCTTGTACACAGTGTATGGACATACAAAGAAGTAAAACACACATACACATGAAATTAACAACAACAACAAACATACAAAAAGAAAGAAAAGCCCAAACCCCCCAAAATGACTGGTCAGGGCTTGCTGGCATTGAGAGTGGTATAGGCTGCGGGCTGCTGGGGGTGGATGCAGATTGGTTCTGCTCTGTATTGTGAAAGATGCAGAAGGTGGCTTTGATCACCAGAGCAAGCAGTGACATTGGGCTAGCCTTCTGCAAATGGCTTTGGACTAGCCTTGTGCAAGTGGCTGCTGGTGGAAGACCATGACCTTCACCTGGGTTTGGTCAAGAGGAGTAAAACCTGAGCAAAGCAGGAGATGTTCCTGATGTTCTGCTGGCCTCTGACCCCTCTGCCAAGGTCATCAACCTGCAGTCTGTGTTTGAGGTACAAAGGAAGTGAGATAAGGTTTCAGATTAAACCATTTCTATCTGGATGCTGGGATCATGCCTAACCCCAGTTAAATATCAAAACACTTTTCTCTGGCTTCTTCTCAAGAAATGTGATTCTTATGTTCTCACTCCAATGGCTGAAGGACAATTGACCCAGAATGACAAAGTCACTATTGATGGGTTCCAGGAGGTGTTTGAAACCAGTCTTTGGCCACTTTAATCCTGACTCGTGAGCTGAAACCTCTTCTTTGTCACAGGGTCAGCCCCTCTCAGTTCTTCCAAACTTCCTCTCACAATGCAGACTCTAATTTCAGACTTGGGGACACCCAGCGGCACAGAGGCCAGGCAGTAATTAAGTAACAAACAGGCTTTGGAAGTAATTATGTCAAGGCCTGAAAGATGGACGTGGACGAGAAGACACTGCTGAAAACTTTACCAAAACGTAGGAGAACTGGAAAAGCGTGTTGGGATCTGTAAAAGGAGACTGCTTTTCCGTTTTCTGGCTGCTCAGACCCGAATAAACACACAGAAACTATATTCATTACAACACTGTTTGGCTGATAGCTTAGGCATATTCCTAATTAGCTCTTACATCTTAAATGAATCCATTTTTATTAATCTATGTATCATTGTGAGTCTGTGGCCTACTGGTAAGGTAAGGTTCTGGCATCTTTCTCCTTCGGGAGCTACACGGTCTCTTACTCCGCCTATTCTCTCTTTATATCCCTTCCAGCCTGGCTACCTTCTGCCTTGCCATAGGCCAAAGAAGCTTTATTCATTAACCAATAAAAGCAACACATATACAGAAGGACTTTCCACATTAAGGATCACCATTCAAAAACCAGGTCACTCGAGCTTGATAATGGCAGTCTCCAAAGCATCCTGGACCCTATGTACGATCCAGGGCACATGGCTTTCTATCATGCTGGATGATATACATTTGTAGTTAAACATGAGCCACGAGCCTCTCTCTTCCTACCTTTCAGAATGACGTCCAAAACCCTGTGATTGTAAGGGCACACACACACATACACGTATGATGTATGATGCACATATGAGAAAGGATTAGCAAAGAAGAAGTACCAACTCAACACCCTCTATAGTTGTAGCCTGTCACAGTCATGGGAGGCTGCAGAGCATCTCCTTACAGTGTCTGTTCCCTGGAGCCCAGCAGATGGGACTTGAGTAACTGGGACACAGGCACAACCTTAATTTTCTCTTAGCCCCAGCAGGAAGGGGGGCACTGCTTTTCTGAGTACGGTTCTGGACAGTTTCTCTCCTTTACAGTCATGTTCCTATACCTCTCCCTTTATTTCCTTCCCCAAATGCTGCTTTGGCTAATCTTACGAGATTGGCAGAATCCAAGTGGTCCCCACACGGCTGCCCATGTAGTCAATCCCAGGAGCAAAGCTTGGATGTGTCTGGGACACACGCATTATTTCTTCTCCTTAAAAGCATTTTGTTTCTAATCAATATAAGGTGTTGGGGCCAACAGTGAGCCTCTTTTGGCATTGAAA